TGCAAATCCACCTATAGCGATGGACTGAGTTGCTTTAACTTCAGCTTCATAGCTGAAAATCGAAATGGACACATACACACATATGTAGGCAACTTCTTCACAGTGTAAGTTTCGAGTGCTACACAGTTGCAAAAAACGCATGAAAAGAAAATGGATTTAAACTACTTACTTCTTCAAGTGCAGGCAAAGAATGCGTCAAGAAAGAGCTCGATTGAATTGTTTTTTGCGGTGTGAAGTTTTCGTTCATTCGGAAGACGAAGTAAAAACTATAGGTCCAGTATGAAACAAGAAATGAGAGCAAAATAATCCTGGTAATTGGATGCTTTAAAAATTCACAATAACTTCTGAATGGTCGCTTGGGCCTAAAAAAGAAAGTAGTTTAAAGTTTTCCACTTTCTAATAGAAATTCGGTATGTGAACTTACATTTCGTTGCTTTTTTCTGGTACGTTGAAGGAGCAGAAGTGAAACTTGAGCAGTATGGGAGAAAATACCAAAAATTGAAAAATCCAGTCCAGAGTAAGCGCCAGTGCGGAACAGTAGCAAAATTCGCGAATTGCATAAGGTGAGAGAAAACTACCCACCTGCAGTAACAAAATGTTTAAACATGAAGTGTAGTAAGTTGTAGGATAAAAACTTCTTCCATTGTCTTGTCGCATGCGCTGCTTCCTATGTTTGTTTTTTGTGCCAAGCATGTAAATAAGTAGAAAGTGCTGCAAAAGTAATTACCATAAAAGCACATATATTAGTGAAGGAAGTGAGCGTTACAGATGGACCAATCTCGACTAGCACCGAATTCAGACGAGATGAAGGATCCAGTTCGGCAGACGTGAACCATTCGTGTAACAATAAAAAAGCAGCGTCAACGCCAACGGCAAGCACCAAAAACGGTGTTATAAGCCTGGAATGATAAATCAAAAAGCCGGTCATTCCATTCCTAATGATAAATAACTATCTCCAATTATCCCCTTGCCCTATTCTCCAAAAAACGACTTCCCGGCAGTAAATGCAGTTTTCGTTCTCCAGAAATTCTGACAAGGACG